ATATTTTGTATATCTATATCTATTTCACAGGTAATTGTTTTGGTCATGCATCAAAAGAATCTTGAAAAAGCTATGCAATCAAAAGAAATGGAGCAATAGAGGCAAACAGATAAGTTGAATCAGTGGGTTGTTGAGGCAAGATTTTTTTGGGGGGAATGGTCAGGGTCGTGCTCAACATAATAATTCAACATTTCAAAATCAGACTCCTCTTGCTGTGTTATAGGACAATTCCTCCCACACAGCTTAGTGGGTGCTGCAGGTGCTGCAAGAAGAGAATATGCTCTTCCACTCAGAATGGCCCAGGAGTGATTAATCCTCTATACCTTGGCTGGATTTTGAAATCAAATACAAGAGAGCATTTATTGCCCTCAGCGAACTACATCAAGATAAACTATCAGAATATTTTGAAGAGTTTAGCTGTGGCAGAAATATTTGCCCAAGGCAAAAACATGGTTGGAAAGAAGTGAAGTTGTATTTTCCATTTCAATTGCAGTAATGACTTTCCATGACTGAGTAGTTTGCTGTTCCTATATGCCAAAAGAAGGACAATTAAAACTTGAAGGCAGATTCTCATGTGTTATGAGAATATTCAGTTTAGATACTGCTACTTCTCTATCTTGCTGAGATCCTTTGATTCACAGGTTCCAAATCACTTTTCCATCAGAATGATGCCCATTACATCTAATTAAACTATTGTCAACGCTGCAAATACTGTATATTCTTGCTTTGACAATAGGAAAAAATATGCCTGAAAGTCCTTTTAAGTGTTTCGTTAATCAGACACATGACAACTATGTTCCCTTTTACACATGTCCTGCATTGATCTGAGACAGATGATGCGCCCACGTTTCCATAATGCTAAGATACTTCCAGAGAGCTTTGAAAGTTGAGCTGATTAACTTTTAGCTCAGTTGCTACTCCAGAGGTTATTCTGGGAAAAAAGCTATATTCTGCATATAATGTGGATTATTTTATATTGATGGGCATTCTACGAGGGCAATTCGGAAATAAACCTCCATTTGGTTATCAATGACAGACACTCGCAGAAACAGAACTTTTATTATGCACATTAGAAAACTCCAACATTACATTACTTTTCGACATAATCACCATTCAAATTGAGGCACTTGTCATAATGTCTTACAAGGTTTGAAATTCCTTAGTAGTAGTCGCTTGGCGCCAAATCTGGGCTATGGGGGGTGATCAAAAACATCTCAACAGAACTGCTTCAAAGGTTCTTGGGTGCATCTAGCGGTGTGCAGGCGAGCATTATCGTGAACCAACACCACACCGGAAGTGGTGCCATAGAAAATCCCGCCAAATATGAAGATGCCAAAGGAGTACTGCTAGTGAAGTTCATGGAGCATGGTTCAACCGTCAATCCAGAAGCTTACTGTGAAATGCTACGAAAACTCAGACGAGCCATCCATAACAAGCATCGGGGCATGCTGACTTCTGGTGCGGTGTTGATTCACGATAATGCTCGCCCGCACACCAAAAATCAAAGATTTTTCCTTCCCCACATATGCAACCCTACAGTCTAAATATTATGCATGAGATTTTTCTGCAATCAAGCAAATTGGCTTTTTAATTAATAACAGGAATTTATTCAACCCAAATTGAATGTGAACTTGCTGAAGTATTATTGTTCGATGTTATCATGCATACAGATTGCAAATTATCATGCCATTGCAAAAGTTTGTGAACTGTCATATGATCCTTCTTTTGGAAAAATGTCATTGGCACAATTAGTTTTTCCTTAAAGCTAGAATATTTGATAACTTTATTTTTGTACATACTATTTTGCGTTGAGAACCTTGCTTTCCAACTCCAAAGATGAATTTTTAAATTCTAATTGAGAATTGGTTTGAAGAACTTTCAGATCTGATAATTCAAGACTAGGCATTATGGAAAAGAAAATAAGGAAACATTAATTTAATTTGGATTTTTTTTAAAAAAATTCTCCTACTGTGAATCTTTTGTTGAATTTTTATCCATGCACAAAACCTTCTTTCTTCTTTGATGTATTTCCCTCCACTTTGATACATACTTTATCTTATTCAAAATAGAGACATACAAAAGGATTTTGCATTCAAAAAGTTCTGATCTGAAAATATGTTTTGCTCTACCTCTGCTGAAAAATTGAATCAGGGCAATAATAATAACAGTGCTTTGGTACAGTATAGGTACAGAGAAATTGAAATAATATTTGTGGTAATATTATTTTAATTACATCTAAAATAAATAAACTGAAAATACTTTTGTCCTAGCTTAAAGTGTGGCTCCAGCACATTAATTAACTACTACAGTCTTCTGTCTGAAAACAAAACCAGCCCTCTCCTGTGGCAGAGGCATCCCACAATCTTAGAATCCAAAACTGATATTCTTCCACCTTCCAACTACAATATTGACATATTTGTTATTCTCTTAAAAATATCAATAAAATATTTTCCCAAAAATATGAATTGCTAAATTATTATGTGTATATGAAAATAAAATATATGTGTGTACAACCACATTCTATAAATAATTTTAAAAAACATTGTATTGAGTTATTTGGGAAAGGAGAATACTCTAAACATTTGTTCTGTACTAATACAGCAGCTGTATTGTAAAGCCTTCAGTGTGGGTGGAGTGGCACCTAAAACTATAGCCTGTGCTTAATTTGCCCACATATAATCTTTTTACCTGGTGGCTTTTAATATGCATTTTCTGAAATTCAAGAGAAGCCACTTAAGCTAAATCAGTTTATTTTTTCTATTAATCTGTTTTCTGCCAGGATAACTACACTAATATCTCTACAAATGTACAGCCTGGTTTTCAATAAATCTCTTCCTCTTTCACAAAACCAACTGCCAGTGAGTTCCTGGTTTTTTTGTTTTTTTTTACAGAGGGTGGGCCTATTCCCCCCCCCCCCCCGAAACTTTCCTTTCTAGAATCAATGTTCTGGTGATAGCTGCTTTAACAGTAAACTTCCAGATGGGGTTGACTATAAAGAGCAGATCTTCATTAGCATATTTAAATTTGATTGACAGAACCTAATCTTAATTCATCTATCTCTCATAAATATTCTGAAACTTTTATTCAGTTTGACAACCAAATGGAAATCAATGGGACTGAAGAATGCTTAGAGAAATAGTATAATTTATATGTGAATGAATTGTTTTATTTATAGTATATGTCCATGCCATTAAACAAATCAAAGAGATTCCATGTATGTTCACATAAACATGCATAAAGAATTTTTAAACTTCATGGTCACAATGAAGCACAGAATTGGACTTGCATAATCAATTTAACAAACATAACCTATTCAGGGTTGGATTATAGTCAATAGATACAATTAAATCTCTCATGCTATTAAGATAGGCAATAGATTTCCCATGTCAATTATAACCCTATCTGTAAGCAAGGATAATTGCACTTACCAGTGTTTATCCACTACCTTTCCTTCTTCAGCTATCACTATCAGAATGTTGAGTGTATTGTCTTTAAAGACAGGACCATGGAGTTTTTGCTGATGAAACCCTTAAAATACCAAGTAATTTCCCAGTTTAGAACAACTCACCAACACGGGGATACATAACACATATAGAAAATAGACTGATCATGCCTTTGCCCTGCTTAAACAATTTAGAGTTTCAGTTTCAACATAGGAAACAGGAAGAAGAAAATGTGCTTGCCTCACAATATAGACTTATGCTTAGTTCAAACATAACTATGACTTTATTCACATGAAATGTTAAGTTGTAAAATTCAGTTAATAGAATATCATACCACTAAACCCCCTCTACACCCATATTACCCGTCCCCACTTGTATGTGGCATCCCTACTTTTGAGCAGATCTGAAATGGAATTTGAAACCTAGGATAAAGCTTGGGGACAAAGTCTTGAGTTTGGAACTCAAAGGTGACATGCATTTCACTACGGATGATATGATAAACCGGAGACTTTACTTAAAAGGCTAGGTTCATGTATAATGGTAGTCTATGCTTGTTAACAGAAATTTATAGCTTAACATATCCTGAAAGCATAGTCCATATGTTATACACAACAAAAGCGGCTGACCCTAGGCTTTTAGTTTTTATCTGAAAAAACTAAAAAACTAAAATCTGTGAGCTATGTTCACAGGATGTATTTCATTATGGTTTGCATATTTGGCTGAATTTGTATACCTTTAAGTCCAAAATATCTCATTTTAGTTTAGAGTTTTATACACAGAGTCACAGATTACTAGTTAGGAGGAGGTATCCTTATTCAGACCTTGGTTCTCTCTTCCCAAATATGATATGCACATGATTGCAATTCACTTTCAGATAAAGTTACAAGAACAAAGTTATATCCAAGGCAACAGAGGAAAGATTTTGTTTTTGTTTATTACCTATGCATAGTGGTGAAAGGGGTATCTTCCTACTAATGATGCAGGAGGGGTTCTGTTATATTGCTGCGACAATATAACAGCAATGGGAATACTCTTTATATTTGCTTGGAGACTGGGTAATGCTGGAAGATGTTTTAAGTCACTAGTGGAAAATGCCCCACAAGCGAAGTCATGGTTTCCTTAACATCCAGAACTAAGTCATAAACCATGATTTACAAGTCAGTGTCTGGGTTCCTCCTACATTAACTCAAACCCAGACTGACAGAATATCAAGTTAGATACATAAATCTTAGTACGGTTTACCGTAATGTGTGTGAGGTGCAAAGGTTTCAAGTGCAAATGGTTAAATCTCACACTTTGGAGACATTGACAGAATATAACCGTATCTCGCTGAATGAAATCTCAGCGACTACCGGCTTTTAGTTTATAATTACCAGGAAATAAAGCGGGCGGGACACGGCGGGTACGCCCTTCGCTTTCGCTGGCTAAATTAAACCCAGGTTCGCATACTCAAAAGGAAATAGGGGGCTAAGCTCGCACGGTGTAATTTCGCCCAGCGTCTTGGGCGCACCAGCCACAGGGAAAAACGGGCGACGTCGGGGCGCGTTTATTACTCACCGACGGTGGTGAGATAGGAAGGCGGCGGCCCCCGGGCAGTGGGGCAAAGGTCGGTGTATCGCCGCAGGACAGAGGTTTTCCCCACGAAGGAGTCACCCACCATCACTATCTTGGCCAAGCATGCCTTGGGCGCCTCGCAGCCTGTCCCCTCAGCCATGGCGCACCCAGCAACAGGCAGGCGTCGATCAAAGCTGGCTTAGCTGGAGTCGCTGGATAGGAGGTCTTCCTACAGCGTTGGCGCAATTGGCACCCAGAGCGTCGACCCCGTGTTGGCAGTTGCTGCTTCTCTTCCGTCGCTGGGCTTCGCTCTCGTCTCAAGAGTTTGGGTTTTAAGGGCTGTTCCGGTTTCCGAGGCGCCTCTCTTATCTCAATGCCCTGAGGGCAAGGTGACGAAGTTCCTTCCCTTTTCTGCTCAACGGGCGCCTTTCCCCAGCAGAACACTTTGAAGAGCAGCTGCAGGTTGGTCATTCAACAAAGTCCACCGGAGAAGTTCCTTCACCCCTTCTATTGGGGAGCTGCAGGAAGTGGTTGATTGTGATAGAGCTCTAATTCTAAGCCCCTGAGACCGGCCAGGAAGAAGAACAAGGCGTGATTATCCTTTTTGATTGGTACTAGTTGCTTGGCATCACCAAATCCGTGCTGGCTTTCCCAATCTGATGGTCTGAGATGCATTGGGGCTTCAAGGAGACGAAGCACACTGCTTTTCTTGAAATATAGCAAAGTTAATGAAAGATGAATATTACTGTATATCACCTTTAATTATCCTGACCACCACCATCTCCTCCTCCTCCGTCATGGTAGGGAAACACTATATAGCCTAGGCCTTTTTTTTCCCATTTTCATTCAGTGTGCCAACTGTGATCTTGTTGAAGAAATTCTTAAAAATGAATCTATATGAGAATAATCAGCATTTTTAAAAAAATCAAATATTTACGTTGTGTTTTGCCAAAGGAATAACAGCTACAAAAGGACTAACACAATATAATTAATCTAACACAAATATTTATTTAAACAGTGGCACTGATAAAACATAGAACATCTCAATTTTAAAATTTTGTAACAGCATTAGTATAGAAAGTCAGTTGCCTTGGCGCACATTTTAATAATGGGTTTGAGAGCAGGATGGGGAAAAACAAATCCTTCCCTCAAATTGCAACCTTCAGATCCTAATTCTTCCATAGATTAGAACTGAATACTGGGACAGAGCATAAAAGACCTTGCAGGGCAGGAAAAAGATGCTACTAGTCAGTCAGCAGTTGCTAATTTAAAGTTGTGTAAATCTTTTTTTCCTACCAAGGAACTGACTGCACTAAGTGAGAAGAATCTGAAAAAGGTAACTGAGGGAGCTAGGGAGAGAGAGCTGCTGGTGGGAAACTTGAAATTGTCTGCTCACAATTATGGGGGTTGGAAAATAGATGAGGCAATTAATTATATGGAATAAATGAACTGAAGGGGCAGGAATGAATTGGAAAGAAGAGGCCAGCTATATGCCTGGAGAAGCTTCAAAGCAGGTCATCAAGGCTTAGCCTTTTCCGTTTGTCACTTAAACATGGGATTAGAAGTACAGCCTCTGTGTGTGAAAACTCCATTTAATTCAGGAGCTGTGTTTGAATCTTCAGCTGCAAATAATAATTTGTTGCTCAAAGAAAAATAGTTATACAATACAGCTGAATTTTTTTTATGTATGTGTAAACGGGGTGGGGTGGGGAAACTTCATGGATGCATAGCAATAGCACTTAGACTTATATACCGCTTCACAGTGCTTTACAGCTCTCTCTAAGCAATTTACAAAGTCAGCATATTGGCCCCAACAATCTGGGTTCTCATTTTACAACCCTTGGAAGGATGGAAAGCTGAGTCAACCTTGAGCCGGTTCAGATTGAAGGAATCAAACTCCAGGCAGATTTAGTCTGCACGGCTGATGATACATATCATGGCTTGGCTATAAATGTTACATTATTTTGTATGTAGTGAATGTGGTAACTCCCAAGTCAATTTCTTCCAACCATTAATTTGTAAGGTTAATTACAAAGGCCAGAGGATATAGATTTATCTGATTAGGATCATGGTCCTGGAGAAGAGGCAAATTTTAGCTCTCTCTTATACTTATTACTTACCATCATCATAATCTGTTCAGCAACCAAAGTTTGTTTGAGTCACCTTTGAGTCAAGTTTAACTCCTGATAACATACACATACAGTAGTCATCAATTTTCTTGGAAAAGAATATAGAACTGGGTTTGTGACTGCCTTCTGGGATGTTCTGACTTTCCACTGTAGTCTACAGCCCTGCTACTTCCTGGTGATCCCACACCCAAGTGCTAACTAGATATGATTCTGCTTAGCTTTTTCAGGTCACTCAAGGATAGGTATGTGCTGCTACCTAACAGGGCAGAGAAACTTCTGTCTGAAGGACTCTGAAGTCCTTATCCAATCATAAGAAGAGAGCAATAACTTAACTTAAACTGCACTAAATAAGATTTAGAAATGTGTCAGTAAAGTAATACTTACTGAAAGTATCTTCACATTTTTACTTATTAATTTTTATTAAAATCTATTGGAAAGAGTCTTTTGAATAAATAAACTCTAGAGTCAGTAGATGTGAAGTTGTATACTGGAAGTTCCTAGTACAACTTAATCAAATGGCAACAGCTATTATTTTCTCCCTCAATAAATGTGCCTATTCTTTGGTGGGAAAAAGAGCTAAAAATATGAAAGAAATTATTGAAGAAACACTGGAGGAGAATAAGTGGAAGAAAATGTCAAGGCTTTCATCAAATTCTGTGAATTACTACTGGCTGAGATATCTCTTGGTGGTAAAAAAAAAAATGGGAAAAACATATCAAGAAGCAGAGAACAGGAACAATATTTCAAGCAGGAACTAAATGGATTATCTACTACCTTTAATATAGTAATGTACAGTTCCAGTTATGGGTTCTATTTGCATTATTATTTAGTCAGATGTCAGATACAAACTTGCTTAATTTTAAAAGTACAACTGATGTATGTTTATAATAGTCCCTCACTTAAAATTATTACCCTTTGTTTCATTTTATTCATATTCCTACCCACAAGAGGACACTCTTTCCATTTTTCTTCAACAAATATTAAAACAAAAGGTTTCATAATATATTAGTCTTTCTTCCGATGTTTTTAATTGTGCTGATAGCTATAGTTCTGATACAATATGTCAGAGTCAGTAGTTTAACTCACATTTTAATGTGAACTTAGCAAATTTCAGACTTTTAAACCAATATCTGAATTAAAATGTGATTTCTCCTGTTTTGCAACATGGATTTCTTATAAAAATGTGTGTGCAGTCATCTACATATTGGTGCATAGAAATGCTTCTATGTATGAAAATATATACAAAAATGCAACATATTGGGAAAAAGTACTTACAAACATGTATAAAGAGAAACATTGTAGACAAATAACTTAAAAGGGCTACCAAAAAGTAGCATGAAATGCAATAGCAAGGTGCTAGTAAGTTCAAGATATAGAAATAATGCAGTATGCTTCCTGAAATATCTGCATTGATTGCCACTTTATTTGGAAGGCCTAATTAAAGTTATTGATATTAATCTTTAAAGCTTAGAAGTCTTAAGTTCTGACTGTTTGTATTACAAACATGTCTGAGTGTTAAGATTTGTAAGACAGACAGCCTTCTGAAGATGCCTCCACTGTCAGAGGCTCAGTAATTCAACACATGGAAAAGAGTCATTTGCTTTGTTCCAAGCTATAGAATGAGCTGCCTGTAGAATAGGAGCCAACAGGCATCTCTTTCACTGGGGTTTTAATTAATTTTAATGTAATCATTTTACTTGTTTAAACAATTTGTATGGCTACCCATCTCACAGGAGTGATTTTGGGTAGCATACAAAGAATTAACCTCCCTCCCCCAAATAGAATTTAAAAAAATCAACTATCCACATAACATATGGAATTGAGAAAAGGGTAATTCCCAATTTATAAAAAAACCCCAAAAACAATAGCCAATCAATCAGCAGAGCCCACTTAACCTCCTGGCCCAAATGCCTTCGGGAGAAATCAGGTCTTTAGTGTCTTGCAAAAGGCTGATGTGTTTGGGGCCATCTATGTTCTGTAGAGCAGGCACTATGACAGAGAAAGCATGACTCCTAGATCCACCAAAATTCACAGCTTGATAGCAGGGACCGGAAACTTGCCCAGCCTGTTGGTTCTGGTTGGGTGAGCAAAAACAATAGGAGACGGGCAATCTCATATATAGTCTGGCCTGATGCTATGTAGGGTTTTATAGGTAATAATGAGCAATTTAAAAAGCACCTGGAAGCCCACATGAAACCAATAAAGCTTGAAGAACTGCAGTTTTATAGAAGTGTATCATAAATGTTTCCCCAGGCTGCTGTATTCTGGAGCAGTTGCAGTTTTCAAATATTCTTTAAGGGCAGCCCCATTATAATAAATTAAAGGGGAGGTGATTAAGGCATTGATTACCATAAGGCTTTCCAATTGGCATATAAGCTAAACCTGTCATAGGGGCTCTTGTCATAGTTGCCACCTGTTCTTTGAGCAAGAGTTGTGAGCCTAGAAAAACCTGCAGGTTTTGTATCGCTTGTGTCTTGGGGAGTGTAACCCCATTCAGAGTCAAACATGGAAAAAGTCCAAACTTGGACTTGGTCTTGGCAGAACTGAGTGGAAGCCCATTCTCCCTCTCATCCAAACTCTCAGAGTCTCCAGTCTCTGGGAAAGAACCACAGGAATATCAGCCTGTTGGTCTAGATAAGATCTGCATTCCTTGCACAGTGAAAAATACTGCAGTGGAATACAAGGGTATAAACAAAATTATAATATGTAGTAATGATAGTAAACATGACATCTAAGATATCCTGATTACTACAGGTTGGAATCAGAGATTTGTATCTGGTCCTCACTGCATAGAGATTTCATATAATTGGAAAAGCAGAAATACATATATTTAGAAATTCTGTTGCCTTTTCCATTATCCATCAGATATTCCATTATCCATCAAATGCACTGTTAGGTACAATTGCCTCTTCTGAATCAAGTTTGTACATCTGGCATTTCCCATTCTTGACCACTTTCTTACTAGCTTGTGAAATAAATACAATTGTTTGGCAGTGTGAACTTTCTTTAGCACTGCCTTTTTTGTATTGGAATATAAATTGATCATTTCCCGTCTCTT